TTGAAATATAATACGTAAATTATTCGCTTTTGATTCGGTTGATCTTCATTTGATTCGTTTAACCAATGGAAATACTGGACTATTTATATGGCCTGCTAACCTTTTTGCTATAATAAATGATTCCAAATAACTCTGTCCACATATGTTTGATTGTACGCAATCGTTAACATTATCCAATAAGAGAGAATATATATATATTAACAATTTAAAATATCAATACGAATAAACGTCACAGGATATGGTATATAACTGTCTGTGTGTATGCCTGTCTCCGAGTCTGACTCTCACGACTTATTGTCCCACTCTGGGGTCAGCCAACAGTCGGTTAGGTGAAGGTGAACCTTGGCCGACGTGGAGCATAGCTTCAAAAGTTCAACTTGTTGCAAAGTTGCATATGTACAAACTTGCAAGCCTATACAAGTGCACACCGCACACTCGCACATTTCACAGTGCACGCCTTGATTCCCTGATTCGATGCAAAACCAGACTACCAGTGGCAGTAGTTATTTATACTAGTTTTAGTAGTAGTACAAAGTATATTGGTCCATTTAGTTCGCGCGGCACGCGCTATGTATGCATTTTTTAGGGTGGGAGTGGGAGGGTCAGGCCGTCAGGGGCAGGCCTCAGCCCTCAGGGCTTAGGGCTCAGGGCCTCAGTCTTCAGAGGGTCCCTAACTCCCCGTCCCTGATAACTCCTAAAGAGGGCTGCGGGCCTGCGGGTTGCGGCTGCAATTGCATTAGATGGTTTTTATCATTCATCGTATATATATAGGACGTCCTACTATAGGCTGCTATTTTTAGATGATAAAATGAAAAAATGTGTGTGTGTACAGTACTTTTAGCACTACAGTCACAGTCACAGTGTCAGACTGTCAGTTCAACTTTTGAGTCGACTCTGCAAGTCTGCACAGTGTGGTACACTTGTGTGACGTGTCAGTTGTCGGTTGTCCCTAAATGAGACTCCGGAGTCCGAAGTCGCGAGGAGTCTGAACTCTGATGAGATGTATTTTATGACTCATGAGTCATTGAGACTATGAGAGCCCAGTATGGCCTATGGCCTTTGGGCTATGGCCTTTGGGCTATGGCCCATGGGTACTGTCACTACTGTGTGACTGTGCGTTCGCCTTCAGGAAATAGGGGTGAACATACGGAGCAGAAAAAGCCAAAAAAAAAAAAAAGCTGCCGATTTCCCCATGAGTCTACAAAGTTTTTAAGTTTATCCCCAAGCGGACCAAACCTAAACCACCAAATAGATCCGAAGTTGTTTTGTTGTAGAGTTGACTTGTGGGCAGTGTCAAATGGTGGCTGGCTATAGACTCCTGACAGACGGAATAACTCGTAGTGCTCATATCATAACACTCTGTATTTATTTACATCTATCCAGCGTTCCGACTATGAAATGAACGCATTTCTATGCAGACTGTATCAGCGTTTATACTAGAGGTGCACTTAGTCGAGAAAACTTACGATTTAACTGTCGATCGTAGTGATAAGGGATGCATAGGGGTCAACCCGGGCAAGCTGGTCGGTCGTACGACACGTATTTCCTAATAATATAGATAGAGGTCTTGTTTATAGTGCATACTGTATGGTATATATTAAGAAATAGTATATAGTATCAGCATTCAGCACTGTAGCTCTTCAATGCGAGATAATGCCAAGCTGCTGCATCTGACACATACGTCTCAACGGGGGAGAGCACAGGCCAAAGCTATGGCCTCGCATAGGCACCCCAAAGCTATGGTTAACACAGCCGTTGCTTCACATATGAACGCTCACATAGGCCCAGATGTATGCTCACAAGTACGAGTGCAAGTACAAACGTACAATGCCTCTATACATACCCGAAGGTCATGGAGGTTACTATGTGTGGTTATATGTGTGCTGCTCTTGAGTACAAGCACATTGGTGGCTTGTGTTGGCGAACAAAGATACGAAGAGCTGACGGAGTCACAGGGAGCCCGCATGCACACTAATTATGCAGTATACGATCCGCAACTGATCGATCCATGTGACCCATTAGGCTTGGCTAATGGGAGTGTAGACGGGAATGTGACTGAGTATTCGTACTGTGTGAACTATACGATACAGCAAGAGTTCAGGTGCTATTGGCTGGACTTTATAAAGACCGAGGGTGTTATAGTGGGTGATGTATACCAACAGCAGAATC